AAGCAGCATCATAGGAGCAGAGAGGCTGACGTTTCGGGCCTAGACCCTTCGGGTCTTCCTATGATGCTGCTTGGCCTGCTGTGTTCATCCAGCCCTGCACCTTGTTGTCTCTCTTCTTTCATTTGAACATGGCTTTACCAAAGCTCTTTAAAAAGTGATATCTTCTATCCTTGGTGGGCATTGAATAGATGTTTAATTATAAAAATGTTAGGACAATGACAAGAACAAGCTGTCCCCATTGATTTTTTATCCCCCTGTATGTTTAGCTCAGATGATCCCAGGGTCCAGTTATCACTGAAATTACACTTAATACCAAGATGGTGCAGTTTATTTTCAATCTGAGAGAGCTAGCCACGATAGGGAGAATATTAGTAAATATGTTTTTAATCTTGCAAATGTTCAGTTGAACAAAATTCTTTCACATTTAAGGACTTAATAATTAACCAGTTAGAAAACACAGTAATAACCTCCATGTGGAGAAGGGTGATAAAGATGCAAAGGTTCTTATCATCATACATGTGTGAAAGTTGACCTGTCAAGTAATAATCCCATCAGGGCAAAGGAGAAAAAGTGAGTTAAGTAGCAAATGTTCAAAATTGAGAGGATGTATTGACCATTTTTTTGTAAAAATAGAAGTGGAAACTGGAAATACAGTGCTTTAGAGGCACAAATAGCAACAGAATAAAGAATGTTACACAAAAGGTGTCCAATACAGAATATAAGAAAAGTAGAGTGAGTGTGTGAGAGAAATTTTTCAATTACCTGAGAATAAGAAAATCTTTTAGAAGAAGCGAATCACAGCATAAAACTAGGTATTTAAACTGTCATGTCAATGCTAGCTTGCTGCAAGAGCAGCACAGCTGGCATTAGTCTCCCGTCCTTTTCCTCATTCTTGTAGTTCTGCAAGGTGGTTCTTTTCAGGTGCTTTTCAAATTCACTTTAGAAAACTATTGCATAAGCTTACGTGTGTGTACATGTTTATAAATTAAGAGTAAGAGTTGGCTCCTGAAGCCTGCTCTGCCATTCATTAAGATTGTGGCTGACCTGATTACTCCACATTTCTGCCAACCACAATTAACCTTTCTCCACATTGCTCATCGAGAATCCATCTACCTGTGCCTTCTAAATACTCAAATAGTCTAATTCCACCATCTTTTGAGGAAGAGCATTCCAAAGAGAGAGAATTCTGAGAGAAAAAAATTCTCCTTACCTTTGTCTTAAGTGGCGGCTTCCTGATTTTAATCTGCCTCTACCCAACACTGAGATACCGCAGTCCAGATCTTAACCATTTTCGGCATGAAGAAATGTTTTTCCTAATCTCTCTATTTTTGTTTTGCCAATTACCTTAAATTGGTGTCTTCCAGAGGTAAACATTTCCACTCTAAATTCGTCACAGTTTTAACTGGTCAATCAAATTTCTTGTCAATCTTCTGTTACTGGAGAGAGAAATGTTTGCCAGGACACAGGGATAAATCCCCTGCTTGTTCTGAAATGGTATTGTTGGATTTTTTTTTATATCCACCACAGCAGGGAAGATTGAACCCTGCTTCAGTGATTAATCTGGAAGACATCAATCCAGCTTCAGTGGTGGGTAAACTATTAGAAGCTATTCTGAGGGACAGAATTAATCTGCACTTGGTAAAGCAGGGATTAATCAGGAACAGTCAGCGTGGTTTTGTTAAGGGGAGATCATGTTTGACTAACTTGATTAAATTTTTTGAATAGGTAACCAGGTGTGTAGATGAGGGCAATGCATTCAATGTTGTTCAGCAAAGCTTTTGATAAAGTCCTATGTGGGATCCTGATGAAATTCAAGGAAATTGGCTAATTGAATCTAAATTTGGCCAAGTGAAAGCCTGTGTCCAAAAGGTTCCGCAGGGATCAGTATTGGGGCCCTTGTTGTTTGTGGTGTATATATAAGTGATTTAGACTTATATGTAGGAGGGTTGATCAATAAGTTCACAGATGATAAAAAAATAAAATTGACGTGATGGTAAATTGTGAGAAGGATAGCCCTAGATCACAGGAGGGTATAGATGGGCTGGTCAGATGGGCTAATCAGTAGCAAGTGGAATTCAATTTGGATAAGTATGGGCAGGACAAACAAGATGAGAATAAGAACAAATTGCTGGAAAATTCAGCGGGTCTGGCAGCATCTGTGGTATCAGCCTCCGATCGGAGGGACCTTGGTGTGCACAAAGCAGAACAGGTAGTTGGTTAAGAAGGCGTGTGGAATGGGACATGATTGACGTATAAGATTATGAGGGGCATAGATAGGGTGGACAGGAAGAGACTTCTCTCCCTCATTGAGGGATCAATGACCAGTGGGCAAAGATTTAAGATAAGAAAAATATTTTCCAACCCCTGCAGTCTGTTTGATCTAGATTCACCCACAATGTTATTAGGGAGAGGGTTGCGGGATTTTGATCCAGCTACAGTGAAGGAACAGCCATATACTTCCACATAAGGATGATGAATGACTTAGGGGGGAGCTTGCATATCGTGGTGTTCCCTTGTATTTGTTGGTGTCAAGTTGCTTTTGTGTTGTAGAAGCTGCACTCATTCAGGCAACTGGGGACTATTCCATCACGCACCTGATCATGCTCTGCACATGGTGGGCAGGCTTTGGAGAGTCAGAAAGTGAGCTACTTACTGTAAAATTCCTAATCTTTGTCTTGTTCTTGCAGCTACAGTATTTATATAGTTAGTCCAGTTCAGTTTCTGGTCAGTGCTAACACCGAGGATGTTGATGGTGGGGTCTCAATGATGATAATGCCATTGAATGTCGAGGGAGGATGGTTGGGTTTTCTCTTGTTGGAGATGGTCATTGCCTGACTGTTGTGTGGCATGAATGTTATTTACCACTTTTCACCTGAAACCTGGATATTGTCCAGGACTTGCTGCATTTGAACTTGGACTGCATCAAGCAGAGATTTGAAAACATGGATGAGAATTTTAAAATCAAGACGTTCCTCAATTCGACTCACTGTAGGTCAGCAAACATGAAGAATCAGAACACAACTTATGCTAATCCCAGGTGGATGTAAAATTTAAAAAAGAAAAGCCATACGGGGTTACCATTTCCTAGTACCCAGGCATCCGATATCTTTGGCACAGACTTGGGAGCTGGCCATGTATTCAACCTCAGACACAGGAGGCTTAAAAATGAGGAGAGTAAAAAAGTGACTTCAAAACGTGTTTTTACAAAGGCATGTTATACCTGTGTATAATTGCAAAATATTTTTTAGGTTATATTTTCATCCAGTGAAGACTTAGATATTGCAGAGCAGCAGACAAGTTTAATCTCCACAACTGAAGAGCCAATCAGAGAAGAGGAAGTACCAGTAGAGGATGCTAATACTGAACAGCAATTTGGAGTGTTGAAGGATTTTGATTTCTTAGACGTTGAACTGGAAGATGCGGAGGTAAGAAACTTCTGCAGTGGTTTGAGATGGCAAACTAAAATTGCATGTCTATTATATTTTATTGCACCAAGGACATGACAACTAAGTTGAGTATCAGAAAAGGGAAATTATATTATAACATTATATCCAAGTTTCACTTTGTTTTCCTTGAAGGTAGAACTTGAATATTGTTCATAAAATGCAAATCACTCTGGACTATAATTTTAGAAACCATTGGAAATAATTCTGGTTTCCTCTTTGATATTTCGTAAAACAAATGTTTGTAACCTGTACTTTAAATAAGTGCATTTTAAATAAATAATGTAAATCTTCCTGTAGATTGGGAAAATACAAAAAAAAATTAGTGAATCTACTTCCTAATTTGATTTTGCTTTTGAATACACTGATTGTTCCAGAAAGCCTTATGTCACAGCACTTTGCATGAAGAACTTTTTCCTGGATTCACTGTTAACAAACTTAGATTGAATTTTAAGAGTCAAATGTTAAATTGCTATAGTGGGATCGCTTCTAACTCACTGTTGTTGATTCAAGCCACAGTGCAAAATTTGAACATCTAATTGTGTTGACACATTAATGCAGTACCAAGAGAGCACCTCATTTTTGGAGGTTTCTTCTTTTGATTAAGGTTATAAACCGAGATCCCAATTACTTATTCAAAGTGCCTGTAAAAGTGCTATGATTCTATTCAGGGACGATTGGGAAAGCTCTTAACCTGTGCTAGCAACGTAGATTCAGTGCCCATTTAATTCATGCTAATTTGGAGTCTTATGTAATTGTTAACTTCCATGTTTGCCTACATGATATCAGTGACTGTCAGAGAATGTCACTGATTGACTATAGGTTGTATGGTATAACAGTGTTTATCTACAATCTATTTTCTCACTTTTGCCAGAGAATAGCCATGGCTCCCATACTGTCCCAATATACTTCAGGCTTCCTGTTATGAGATAAATTTAAATCTAGGTTTTCCCTAGAAAGAAGAGGATAGCCATGGAATTCAAAAGTCACAAGTGGCTCTGAGAGACTTGGATAATATCTTTAAATAGCATATGCAGCTGATGAAATGTTAAAAAGATGATTTGCACGTCCTGCATGTGTTTTGTTACTTGAAGTTTCACACCCTAACCAAACACCTGGTAATTCAATGTAATTGATGTTTGTTCAGATTAAGGCATACTCCTGTTTCTTACATCGTGCCAAATATTTCTCTTTTCTTACTTTTTAATGCTGGTCATCTCTTTTCCTCATTGCTAACCAGGAGCTGCAGGTAAGTTGCAGCCTGGTGCAGTGTTTTGTTGAGTCTTGTCTGTGGTAAATGTTGAATGTTAGTTAATGGAATAGCATTACTGTGCAAAGCCAAGATGTTCTGTTTATATTTGTGTGCAAATTTTGGCCCTTCGAGGACATGCCTGTAAATAAATGTTAAAAACAAAATTAACAAGCAACACACTTACATTCTTAAGATAGTTTTTAATGTTAGTGAATGTAAAATATGTTTAACTTTTGTAAATTTGTTACGTATTTGCATAAAGTGCCATAATAGATAATAGTGAACAATGTTTATTAATGTGGTCGACTGCATGTTTCATGTATTGCTGCAAACTGAATTATTTCTGGGTATTTCAGTTAGCCACTAGGGATTTAGAGCTGTATTGTGCAGTGTGTTCATGGAATAAGCTACTTTCAACACACTCTTAATAAGCTACTGTCGACACACCTGTAATGTACAGTCCCATAAAGCTCTGGCAGCATTTCAGGTGATTCTATGAATTGCAGTTTTTAAGAAAATTCTTATTAAGAAATAATAAATTAAAAGTAAAACTGTTGCAGGGTGAAAGCATGGACAACTTTAATTGGGGCGTACGGAGGCGTTCATTGGATAGCATCGAGAAGGGAGATACACCATCGCTTCAGGAATTCCAGTATTCAGGAAGCACACCCAGCTTAACCTTAACCAATCAGGAGGACACCGATGAATCATCCGAGGAGGAGGTATTGGCTGAAAGTCAGATGTTAACCCAATCACAGATAGTAAGTCATTGCTTTTCTCCTGTGTTACACAATCCATTTATATTTATATTTTTGTTTCAGAAGTTCTGCTAATGGATATACCAAATGAACTTTAGGAGGCTATGAATCTCCAAGACTTAATGTCAATTCCAATGCTCTTTTTTTGAATTCCTGGCATTTCTCACTATCAAAATCTAGCTACTCATGGGTCATAATTTGTATCATAAGCAATTTTAAATTTCTGTTCCTCAGAATGAAATTTGCTTTCTTAACCTCATCAGTAATCATCAGAAGGATTGAGAAAGCAATTAAATGAATTATGCAATTGGCACAAGACATCACATGAAATATACATTTTAAAGTCTGTTTCAGAACCTTTGTAAATAAGTAACGTTGAGGAATATATACCTGCCCAAATCCCATAGATTTTTCATTGTTATTTGAACTTATCAATTTCCTTTTCTCCCTTTTTTTGAACAAATTAATGTCACCTTACTGGTTTATTTGTAAACTATCTTTTGTTTTTACTGGCAGTATTTTTCCCCTCACAAACCCCAGTGGTGCCTTGAGCTATTTCACTTTTACGCTTAATTGGTAGTGAGATTTCTCTAGAACTGCCATCAATGTACAGTGGGATGTGTGCAACATAGAAGATCACTTAGCTTGTTGATTTGATACGGTCTTTCTGCAAGAGCGATTGAACAATTAGCACAAATCTTGTCTCCTCTTCAGGTGCTCATCCAATTCTTTGTGAAAGCCGGAATTGAGTCTGCCTCCACCACTCTCTTAGGCAATGTATTCTGAATCCTGATCACTCACTGAATAAAAAAGATTTTCTTTGTTACTTTCAGTTCTTTTGTCATTTATCTTAAAACTCTAGTTCTTAATAGTTTTATCAATAGGTTCAGTTTCTACATGTTCTATCCAGATCCCTCATGATTTTGACCACTTGAATCAGATCTCCTCTCAATCTTCTTAGCTGCTTCAATTTCCATTTAACTGAAGTTGCTTATCCCAAAGCCATTCTCACAAAGCTTTCCTGAGCCCTCACTAATATTCACATTCTTCCAAAAGTGTAATGCCTAGAAATTTACACACTACTCCAGTTGAGACCAAAACAGTATAATAAAGCATTATCTTGGCTTTATTGCTTTTATACTCTATTCTACTATTTATAAAGCCTTATCGTATATGCCAATTGAGCCAATTTCTCACCCTGCCCTGCCACCCTCAAACTTTTGTGCACATACCTTTTTGTACCTATTAGTTTATATTACCTCTCTTCCTACCAAAATTAAAATTTAAAGTATATTAGCTTGCAGTTCACAGTACTTCTAAATTTTGTCATCGACAAATTTTGAAAATGTGTCCTGTACAGCCAAGTGTATATTGTTCTAGCCCCTGAGTACCTACCTCTAGTCTGAAAAAGAGCTTTTGATCAGTACCCTGTTTCCTGTCACTCTCACAAATAAGCATGCTGCCGTTATCCCTTTTATTCCCTGGCTTCAACTTTGCTGACGTATCTATTATCAACATATTTTGGCAGCCCAAAGACAACATGTCAACCCTATTACACTCATGAGCTTTATTACAGAAAGGAGCGAGACAGAAAGCAGGAAACTGTAAGACAGCTGACCAAACATCTGCCATGTTGAAATTGTTGGAATCCATTATTCAGGAGGTCATAATACGATCAGGCTGGCTTTATGCAAGGGAAACTTTGTTTAACTAATGGCGGCATGGTAGCTCAGTGGTTAGCAGTGCTGCCTCACAGCACCAGGGACCCAGGTTCGAATCCAGCCTCGGGCGACTGTCTGTGTGGAGTTTGCACATTCTCCCCGTGTCTGCGTGGGTTTTCTCTGGGTGCTCTGGTTTCCTCCCAAAGTCCAATGATGTGTGGGTTAGGGGAATGGTTATGCTAAATTGCCCATAGTGTCCAGGGTGGGAAATTTAGGGATGGTGTAGGGGGTGGGTCTGGGTGGGATGCTCCTCAGAGGGCATTTGATTTGATTTTCCTTATCCAAGCTTAATTAACCATGCCATAAAAGAACATATTAAATTCAGAATTTCATGTTCCCACTAGAATACAGAACATAGAACATTACAGCGCAGTACAGGCCCTTCGGCCCTCGATGTTGCACCAACCTGTGAAACCAATCTGAAGCCCATCTAACCTACACTATTCCATTATCATCCATATGTTTATCCAACGACCATTTAAATGCCCTTAACGTTGGCGAGTCTACTACTGTTGCAGGCAGGGCATTCCACGCCCTTACTACTCTCTGAGTAAAGAACCTACCTCTGACATCTGTCCTATATCTATCACCCCTCAATTTAAAGCTATGTCCCCTCGTGCTAGCCATCACCATCCGAAGAAAAAGGCTCTCACTGTCCACCCTATCTAATCCTCTGATCATCCTGTATGTCTCTATTAAGTCACCTCTTAACCACCTCTCTAACGAAAACAGCCTCAAGTCCCTCGGCCTTTCCTCATAAGACCTTCCCTCCATACCAGGCAACATCCTGGTAAATCTCCTCTGCACCCTTTCCAATGCTTCCACATCCTTCCTATAATGCGGCGACCAGAACTGTACGCAATACTCCAAGTGCGGCCGCACCAGAGTTTTGTACAGCTGCAACATGACCTCATGGCTCCGAAACTCAATCCCTCTACCAATAAAACCTAACACACCGTACGCCTTCTTAACAACCCTATCAACCTGAGTGGCAACTTTCAGGGATCGATGCACCTGGACACTGAGATCTCTCTGCTCATCCACACTACCAAGAATCTTACCATTAGCCCAGTGCTCTGTACTCCTGTTACTCCTTCCAAAGTGAATTACCTCACACTTTTCGGCATTAAACTCCATTTGCCACCTCTCAGCCCAGCTCTGCAGCTTATCTATGTCCCTCTGTAACCTGCAACATCATTCCACACTATCCACAACTCCACCGACTTTAGTGTCATCCGCAAATTTACTAACCCATCCTTCTACACCCTCATCCAGGTCATTTATAAAAATGACAAACAGCAGTGGCCCCAAAACAAATCCTTGCGGTACACCACTAGTAACTGAACTCCAGGATGAACATTTCCCATCAACCACCACCCTCTGTTTTCTTACAGCTAGCCAATTTCTGATCCAAACCACTAAATCACCCTCAATCCCATGCCTCCGTATTTTCTGCAATAGCCTACGTGGGGAACCTTATCAAATGCTTTACTGAAATCCAAATACACCACATCAACCGCTTTACCCTCATCCACCTGTTTGGTCACCTTCTCAAAGAACTCAATAAGGTTTGTGAGGCACGACCTACCCTTCACAAAACCGTGTTGACCATCCCAAATCAAATTATTCCTTTCTACATGATTATAAATCCTATCTCTTATAATCCTTTCCAACACTTTACCCACAACCGAAGTAAGGCTCACTGGTCTATAATTACCAGGTTTGTCGCTACTCCCCTTCTTGAACAAGAGGACAACATTTGCTATCCTCCAGTCTTCTGGCACTATTCCTGTAGACAATGACGACATAAAGATCAAAGCCAAAGGCTCTGCAATCTCCTCCCTAGCTTCCCAGAGAATCCTAGGATAAATCCCATCCGGCCCAGGGGACTTATCTGTTTTCACACTTTCCAGAATTGCTAACACCTCCTCCTTATGAACCTCAATCCCGTCTAGTCTAATAGCCTGTATCTCAGTATTCTCCTCGACAACATTGTCTTTTTCCTGTGTGAATGCTGACAAAAATATTCATTTAGCGCCTCTCCTATCTCTTCCGACTCCATGCATAACTTCCCACTACTGTCCTTGACTGGCCGTAATCTTACTCTAGTCATTCTTTTATTCCTGACATACGTATAGAAAGCTTTAGGGTTTTCCTTGATTCTACCTGCTAAAGACTTCTCATGTCCCCTCCTGGCTCTTCTTAGCTCTCTCTTTAGGTCCTTCCTGGCTAACTTGTAACTCTCAAGCGCCCTAACTGAGCCTTCACACCTCATCTCTACATAAGCCTCCTTCTTCCTCTTGACAAGAGATTCAACTTCTTTAGTAAACCATGGTTCCCTCGCTCGACCACTTCCTCCCTGCCTGACAGGTACATACTTATCAAGGACACGCAGTAGCTGTTCCTTGAACAAGTTCCACATTTCAATTGTGCCCAGCCCCTGCAGTTTCCTTGTCCATCCTATGCATCCTAAATCTTGCCTAATCGCCTCATAATTGCCTTTCCCCCAGCTATAACTCTTGCCCTGCGGTATATACCTATCCCTTTCCATCGCTAAAGTAAACGTAACCGAATTGTGGTCACTATCACCAAAGTGCTCACCTACCTCCAAATCTAACACCTGGCCTGGTTCATTACCCAGTACCAAATCCAATGTGGCCTCGCCTCTTGTTGGCCTATCTACATACTGTGTCAGGAAACCCTCCTGCACACATTGGACAAAAACTGACCCATCTAAAGTACTCGAACTATAGCGTTTCCAGTCAATATTTGGAAAGTTAAAGTCCCCTCTAACAACCACCCTGTTACTTTCACTCCTAGCCTTTCCTCTACATCTCTGGAACTTTTTGGAGGCCTATAGAAAACTCTCAACAGGGTGACCTCTCCTTGCCTGTTTCTTACCTCAGTAGACGAGTCCTCATCAAACATCCTTTCTGCGACCGTAATACTGTCCTTGACTAACAATGCCATACCTCCCCCTCTTTTACCACGTTCCCTGATCTGACTGAAACATCTAAACCCCGGAACCTGCAGAGATCAGAACTGGATTTTTGATCACACAAGAATGTAGTGTGATCTTAGAAGTTTTAAGAGATGGTCTATAACTAACATAAATAGCTTTCCTATGACAACAATTAACATATTTTCTTCTCTCAGGCTTTATGACTGTTCTAGAAAGGGACCAAGGGCTCTAATTCTCTAATTATTAAAGTTCTCAATGTTACATCAGTGCTGGTAACATTCTTGATACAATGTTAGAATTATATCATTACTGCACACTGAAAAAAACATTAAATTTGATCAGCTGTGTACTTAACCAGCACCAAAATTCTAAGATTACAAGATTACACTCAGCACGTAATTTAGGGAATAAAAACAAAAACAAACAGAATGCTGCAGAAACTCAGCAGGCCCAGCAACTCTGTAGCGAGAAATAGAGTTAACATTTTGAGTCTGACATGACTGTTTAGACTGGGGATAATTTGGAGAATTTGATAATGAGATGTAGAAGTCAATGTAACAGTTTTGTAATGCTTTTGATTTTCTGAACATTAAAACTAAATGGATTTTACAGATTGATAAAATGGTGCATCACAGAGGGAGGCATTTGGCCCCTGATGTTTGTGCCAGACATTTGGTACTGCCATCTAATTAATCCAACTTCCCAACTCTATCCCTATTTTCCCCTTTCACTCAAATTCTACTTTGAATTTTACCAACCAGTTTGCTTCCTCAAACACCTTATTGAATTGCATTCCAATTTGCAACAGTACACTGCATTAAAAAGCATTTCCTCATGTCATTTCAGATTTGTCAACCCTTTAAATTTGCATGACATTTATACATAAATCTGCACAGAGATCGCTTTTGCAGTCGAAGTATCAAAAGATGATAAAGAAGTATTGCTTGATCAAGAAGATGAAAAGTGTTTCTCCATGATCTTTGCTCAGGATTACTGAAACTAGCTACTATTAAAATTAAGGAAACCAATTTATTTATATAGCATTTTTATTTGCATTCATTCCCCATATTCAGGAAGTGGTTAAGTCTCTGTGGCACATTGTCCGTTTGGCTTGGGTGATATAGAGAGCTCACTGGAAAGAAGCCAATGTGTCATCCAACAAGCTGATCAACCAGGTTTCTGTAAAATGTATCTAACATAAGATTTATAACAGAGAAGGAGGCCATTTGGCCTATTTTGACTGCCAGCTGAGAAAGATCCTTCCAAACTAATCCCACTGGTCAGTAGCCCTGGAGTTTTCAGCACCTCAGACGCATATGCAAGTTATTTTGAATACACTGAGGGCTCTTGCCTCTTCTCCCTTTGAATTCAGATCTCCAACACTCTCTGAATGAAAGAATTATTTTCAACTTCCTAATTATTTTAAATCTATGCTCCCTGGCCATTGACCTTTTTTGCAATGGAACTGTACCTTTCTCATCCACTCTATCTAGATGTCTCATAATTTTATACACTTGAATAAAATCTCCCTGCAGCTACCCGTGTTCTAAAGAAGACAGCCATATTATGTTTAATCATTCCTTGTAGCCAAAATTCTTTAATCTTGGTAACAGATCTTCTCTAGCGCAACTACAAGTACTCTGATTAAAACTGATGATCAGAGCTTCTGCTACTTTATTCCTTGCATTACGTTGTTGCCTGTGGTATGCTAGGAGTGATTTCTCTTCCTTCAAGAGATTAAACACATTTCCTTCCTCCCTATTAATCCCATATAATATTTCATGCTAATCCTTTTCAAATACCTTCTGTGCCTCAATCCCCTCTATTACAAAAACATGCATGAAGAATTAATTGATAAACAACCCACATTTTCTTGCCTATACAAAAAAGTTGCCTTTTCATCTTTAGTTGCCTTACTGTTTTCTTAGTTGTCCTCTTGCTTTAATTTTTTAAACGTCATAGCATTTCCTTAATCTACTTTGTGTTTGTTGATTTTGTCTTGACCTGTCTTTATTTTCATCATTTATTTTTTAATATCACTATATCTTGTTATGCGTTACCAAGCTTTTTGCTGTGTTGAGGTTTTTGCATCTGACATTAGCTTTTATCTCATAATCCAAATGTATATGCTTTTCAACATTCAGTCTAAACTTGATTTCCATTCTTTTTCTTTATGGGAACATAATTTGTTCTGAATCCTCTACCACCACCCCAATGCTCCTCCTGCAGTGTTATTGATGCAGCATTAAGTAGCTGCTTCTAGTCTACTTTTGGCAAGTTACATCTCCATACCTTCTCCACAGCATAGTTGTATTCACCAGAAAAACTGTTGCCTTTCCCTAAATTCTGAATTGAATATTGAGTGCAGAGCAAAGTTTAGTCAAGTGTCTCCTGTGCTAACAGCCAGGCCCAACTTGACATTTTTTGAGTCACCCATTCCCTGTCTGTGTGGACCCCCTGAATTTGTCACATGACCACCTCTAAATATACATTATCTATGTAGCTCTCAACCTTCCAGATGCATACAGTAATGCCAGCTGCTGCTGAATCTTCAAAACCTGTGTAGTCGTCCAGAAGTTTCTGGCAGTTCTGACATGAACGTGATGTGCATCTCACAAGAATCAGATGTCCTGCCATACTTCTGTTTGTTAGACTAAACTTAGCAGAAATCAATTGAAGACTATTAAAGGCTTACTAAGAAAAACATTCACCAGCTACGCAACAATCAGCACTTTCTCTTGTGCTAATGTCTCTTTATATTTTTTAACCTTGCTGCTTGACATTCACACCCGCACTGTTCTGTAATTCACCTGAACTCCTTCAGATTCATGCTCTATACCTTCTGGATCTAGTTATAAAAACTTCAGTTTAACAAATTGCTTATTGAGCTGTCACCTGGTATAACTCAGCAAAGTTACATTTTGATTTTAATGAATATCCAATAAAAGAGCACAGACTTAAGTTGAATTAAATGTAGAACTCTTGGAAATCTCTGGCTGCTCTGAATAATTTATACTGTGCTGCCTCTCACTGCCTCTCTCACTTTTTATTACAATATTTGGCTATCCATTTTCACATTGCATATGAAAAAAGGTGAGAGTTTTATATCAAAACAAGTAGAACGAAGATTTCAGACTTAAAAACTGTACAAACTCCTGGCATTTAGTATACATATATGTCCATGCAATAGTTGTGATTTTTGGACAGTGGGAACTAATTGTTCCCTCAATTGCCTGGATGACAGGCTCTGTACCATTCACTGTTGAAACATTGAGCATCAAATTTTGTATCTGGTTTACCATGTTATTTTCTAGATTTTTAGTTTTTCACTTGGTTATTTTAATATTGAAATTTTTTCCCTTGTTACAATCTAGTAATAAGAAACAAATTCTCGTGGACTCACTCTTGCATGTAATTTCCTGTATCCTTCTCTTAGCTAAACAGTGATTCAATAATAGATGATGCTGCACCAAACCATGTGGAATCCTTGCAACAGTCAAGAGAAACAACGACGAATGAACTGTCTGATGAAGCACTACTGCCCAGAGCTGAGACCCCAAATTTAGAGACACTGCTTCCAGATAGCGCTAACAACCAGCTTCCTGAGGTGGGAAACAATGTGGGTCGAAATATGGGTTGGTGCATGGCTGATTTGGGATCTTTCTAATGCTGTTTATTCCTTGTATATTTCTGCATTGGAAGCTGATCAAATATTGCAAATTCACAGAACCAAATGAAATTTTAATATTTTTAACCTGTGATGGTATTTAGACAAGATGTATCTGTTATAAGATCTCTAAAAGGTTGCCTTTAGATTTGTAAATCGTTTACACAGGTTAAAAGTCTTCCTTTTGCCTAATAGATTTTTGCAGAGATCAATTTGAAGAAGAACTTTGCATTCTTTTTAATTGTGTTGTCTTCAAGGGTGATGGTGCTTTCTCTAAGCAACTGATTCTGGGAAATCTTAACTAGGCTTGGCAATGTTGATCTTTTCTTGGCTTTGCATACTGCATTATGATTATGGGTTGAGATTGTGGGTAATAACCTCAGGCTTGCTGTGTTAGCATATCATCTGATAATGTCTAGACCTGTGTCAGCTTTTGGGACTAACTTGATTTGTAAGTATTATAACATTCCTTTTATACTACATTTAAACTATATACTATTTATACTAACATAAATTTGATAATTGTGTCTAACAACTTTAAGTTGCTTATATTAGGTAGATAAATTCTGTACCTAAAATTTTTACCAAAACTATTGCTGTTATTTAAACATTTGGTTATAGACCTAAAATTACTGATTTACCTTTCTGTTTGTTATGAAGGAAGGTGTATTTTCAAAATGAAAGAAGGTAATGCAGATTGTTAAATATTTCTCAGTTTTGCTTCTATTGACTTAATCAAGGGACTTTTATCCACTAGGAATGTTTCGTAGCCTAACTGAAATGATGAGGAACATTGAGATTTGGAACAGAACTGATAACACAAAATGTCTACATCAGTGTGTTTGTGGCAACTGGAAGAACAGTCTCTTTCTGTTTCTATTCTTGAACAGACTAGTGATTTAGGATAAAATCCAGCCAAACTTTTTATTTGTTCACTGGCTAGCATAGCCTTTATTGCCAGTCCCAATTTCGTGGACGAAGTTGTGGTGAGTTGGCTTCCTCAATTCATGCAGTACTTAAGGTGTAGGGATACCCAGAGCCCAATTAGAATACTCCTGGATTTGACCTAGCAACAATAAAGGAACACAATATATTTCCAGTCTTGATGGTGTGTGACTTGGAAGAGAACCTACACATGGTGTATTGCCATGCATCTCCCATGAAATCCCCAGGTGGTCAAGTTTGTGGGTTTGGACGATGTTGTCTAAGGAGCCTTGGTGAGTTGCAGTTCCAGGCAACTGGGGAATATTTTAGCTCACTCCAGATTTTTGCCTTGTGGATGATGGACTGTCTTTGGGGAATTAGTAGTGAGTTATTTGCTGCAAGGTCCCTACCATCTCAACTGCTCCTTAAGCCACAGTATGTATATGGCTTGCCCAATTCAATTTCTGGTGAATGATAAACCCGGGATGTTGATATGTTAATGCTATTGAAAGTCAAAGAGTACTGTTTATCATTATGTTGCATTTGTGTGGCACAAATGTTACTGGTTACTTATTGGCCCAAGCCTGGATATTGTCCAGGTCTTGCTGCATTTGGAGATGTACTGCTTCAATATCTGAGAAGTCGAGATTGGTGCTGAATGTGGTGCAATCATCGATGAACGTCTGACCTATGACGGGCGGTCACAGTTGGTATGGCAGTTGAACATGGTTGGATCTAGGACACCATTGAGGAATTCCTGCAGAGATGATTCCTGTTGGTTCTGGTTATGCTTGGATTCCTTGATGCCAATCTCACTTCACTCTTACCTTACTTCTGGCGTTCAGACGGTTTGTCCTTGCTTAGACCAAATTCCATGATCAGGTCAAGATCTGAATCACACTAGCGGAATCCAAACTGAGTATCAGTGAGGAAGTGCCTTTGCAAATGTTACTTGATCTGTCATACACTCTTGTTATTCTTAGCTTTTCTTCACTTTCCTCCAAAAATCTCTACCGTTAAGAAATAAGCCAAACTTGTTTTAGTCTTGGTATTGTGATGTATATTGTATGTGACAGGTGAACCTTTGTCCTCCTGTCCATTTTCATTAGTGCATTTCATGGTGGTGACAAAGCCAGAAGGTCCAATTTACTCCTCTGTCCCTAATTCATGAAGGATAGAATTCAAATTCAATCTTGATTTTATATTTGGTTTCCTGCAGCAATAGTTCTGCCTGTCCCAGTCAGATTCTCAGTGAGGCTGCATTAATCCCCAATAGGTCACTTTGGTTTCAGGACTTCAGGAGCCCTCAGAGAACTAACTAGAGTAACGAATGTACAAGCCTGAGAGGGGAAAAAATATAAAGAAAATCACACAAAAATGGCAGATATATTTCTGACTGCTGTCTTCACCATTATGATTAATCAAAGCCTTATTGACTGTTGCGCCTTGTTGACTGTTGCACTTTATCAACTGTTTTAATTTTGTAAACTCCATAACTGATATTTTTGTTACATACATCGGCAAGAAAGATTCAACCGTTTTACCCCAGTGTCTCTTACAGACTTTAAATCTCAAGGAAGAGTCAATGAAAGAGCCACACTGAAGCTTCTTGCTTAGCTAGCAAGGCTGTAATTAGTTTCCTTGTAGCAAATTGCTGCACATTCACTAGATGCTATTTTTTTCAGTTTATGTCTCTCCCCAAGACCCTTAAAAGAAACTGCTAACTCAGTTCACCATTACTTAACATGAGTTCCCTGAACTCATGTCCTCAACGGCCTTTATAGGATGTCTTCCTCTCTGATCTCCCCATAGCTTTCTACTTTTGGAGCTTGCCCCTCGCTAACTTCTGAGTATCTTAGAACTTCTTCCCAAAGAAGCAGCAAATGCTTGTAGACTATTCATAGCAGCATCTTTGCTGTTACGAGCCTTTTTCCCCCTGCATTAATCTGCCTCTGACTCCTCTTTCTCGTTGTCATCAAACTCAAGTCAGATAGGACCTCATCAATTATCCCTCCAGCTGGTTTGCCGGTCATTTAGTTGGAATCACATAACTTTCTGTAAATGCTGTTTTTGAACTCGATGTTCAAAATGACTTTACATCCTTTTAAAATAAGTCTTAACTGAAAAGTTAAGATTCAGCACTCCCCCACCCCCCCACCCCACTTTACAGCCCAATAGCATTGTGGGGGTACCTTCATGAAGTGGACTGCAGTCGCTCAAGAAGGCAGCCCTCTATCATCTTCTTGAGGGCAACTAGGGATGGGCAATAAATGCTGGCATCCAAATACCAAGAATTATTTTTTAAAAAGTTTATGAACATTTTATGAACCTTCATTACACTTACAAGTGTAAGCTACATATAAAATCGATAATATTAAAGAAATTACTTTATAAAAGAATACACACTTTTGTTTGTAAAACTTTATGAATTGTTATAGAGCTTTAAAGAAAGCATTTGCTTTATTTGTTGATGATGCATGCTCTGTCTTTGATTGAGAGATGATCATTTCTCTCTAATATCCCAGAATCAATAAGGCACACAAGGGTTTCCTTCAGGTGACTATCCTTTCCAGCCTTGTTTTCTTTCTTTAGAGAGACACCCCTCCTTCACTCAGTACAGCTCTATTGCAGCATGTCATTTAACTTGTCTAGTGTGGATTATGAACATTGCCAAACTCCCGTATCTGGTTGAATGGATTTTCATTTCTTTTTCACTCAAATTGTAAAAAGGCCAATTATTCTACAGATTCTCAGTGGCCATGTGTGATTGTGTTGATTGCTATCAGTTTGAACTCATTTGCACTTCTAAAATCAAGGAGCAAGTTGCATATATGAAGACAAGATTTTGAAAGCAAATTTTACTACTGTTTTTCCTTGAAAGTGTGAAATTACATTATTTGTAAGATATGACAAAATTCCAATAGCTAATATTAAATGTTGAGATATTTCATGCTGAAGTGATTTATACAAATATGAAAACCTCAGTAGCACATCATGTCTTGCATTATATTTCTAGTTCTTCATTTGATTGCAGGATGCCAGTGCAGTTATGAAGGATGAACTGGTTATCACTGTTGGTGAAGACACTGGTTCAGACAGTAACCAAGATTCCCAGAAGTTTGAAGACGCAGTTATTTCTGGGAGTTACCCAGAGTTCATCTGTGAAGAGGATGTAACCCTTGCTCTTAAAGAGCTTGATGAAAGATGTGAAGAGGAGGAGGCAGATCTTTCAGGACATTCAAGGTAGTTAATTTTGTATTAACCAGAGAGAGCAAGTCAAATATAATTACTTTTTCCCACCTGGTGCACTACTTTCTGTTGGAACATTTTGTGCTCCCTTAAATTGTAAGAATTACAGCCACAAACCCAGATTTTGCACTAATCACAGAGAAAGGTAGCCATAAAAATTTTAACCGGCCCTAAAGCATTAATTTTGCCTCATTCAACTTAATTTTGAATCTGATGCCATCTATAAGAAATCTGTGGCACCCCGGTGATCTGCCAATCAGGGTGAAAAATTCTCACAGAGAGCAAACCAGCTTATACATGTGTGATTAAGCTGAAGATCGCTTTAAAAATAATGAAACTTCAAATATTGAGAGAGAATGATATGTAAAACATGTAAAGTTAGCCTTTCAGGTTCAGAAGGTTGTTCAGCATCAATTATGACTTAATTTGCCATTTAAAAGCTCAGATACATTATATTCAACAAAATTTAGCATAAGGAGTTATCTTTACAACATGAACACTGTGTGTGAAATTGAAGTTAATATCAGTTCACTGAATCTGTTGATTATATGAAAAAATTGTGTATGCTTGGTTGAGAAGCTTACTGCTTGACAGCAACTTAAAAATTTGTGTCTAACTGCACATATATAGGACCAGAGAATTTTGAGAGTTCCACTTAGTAAAAATGGCGAACGTTGATAATTTTATTGTTGATATTTGGCAGCACAGCAGTTCAGTGGTTAGCACTGTTGCCTTACAGCACCAGGATCCCAGGTTCAGTTCCAGTCTTGAGTAACTGTCTGTGTGACATTTGCACATTCACCTTGTGTCTGTGTAGATGCTCAAGTTTCGTGCCACAGTCCAAAGACATGCAGGTTAAGTCAATTGTCAATGCTAAGTTGCTCCATAGTGTCCAGGGATGTGCAGTTTAGGTTAGCAGATTAGCAATGATAAATGCATGGTTCTCGCAGGGCGTTTTGCTAGTGCTGTTGAAGGAATTTAAACCAAGGTTGTGAGAATAAAGAGAGAATATTTAAAAAAAAAACAGACTACTTGGAGAGACAAATAGCGCTAGCATAGAGAATAATTAATCGATGAAACTGGAGTAAGAAAGAATGAAATCTAAATCATAGTCACTGTGCATGAATGTGAATGTAGCAACGTAGTAAATAAATTGGGAAGTTACCGGTTTAGACTGCTATGTGGAAATATGATGTTCTGGTGATGACACAGATCTGACTCATGGTAGGGCGGCTTGAGTAACATAGAAGATAGGCACAGGAGGAGGCTGTTCAGCCCTTCGAGCTTTCTCCATCGTCCTTCACAGTCATGGCTGATCGTCCAATTTAATAGCCTAATCCTGCTTTCTCCCCATAACCTTTGATCCCATTCACCCCAAGTGCTATATCTAGTCGTCTCTTGAATACATTCAATGTTTTGGCATCAACAACTTCCTGTGGTAATGAACTCCACAGGCTTGCCACTCTTTGGATGAAGAAATGTCTCCTCATCTCCGTCCTAAATCATCTACCCTGAATCCTCATACTGTGACCCCTAGTTCTGGACACATCGAGAACGTCCTCCCTGCATCTACTCTGTCCAGTCCTGTTAGAATTTTTTATAAGTCTCTATGAGATCCCTCCTCTTTCATCTGAACTCTAATGAAAACAATCCCAACCTAGTCAATCTCTTCTCAAATGTAAGACCCGCCATCTCCGGAATCAGCCAGGTAAACCTTCGCTGCACTCCCTTGAGAGCAAGAGCATCCTTCCTCAGAAAAGGAGACCAAAACTGCACACAATATTCCAGGGCTGTGTACAACCGTAACAACACATCCCTGCTCCTGTACTCAAAACCTCTCGCAATGAAAGTCAACATACCATTTGCCTTCTTTACCACCTGCTGCACCTGCACGCTTACTTTCAGTGACTGGTGCACAAGGACACCCAAGTCCCACTGCTCATTCCCCTCTCCCAATTTACAGCCATTCAGGTAGTAATCTACCACCTCATTTTTGCTTCCAAAGTGAATAACCTCACATTTATCCAAATTATACTGCATCTGTCATTGATTTGCCCACTCACCCAACCTGTCGAAATCATGCTGAAGGATCTCTGCATCCTTGTCACAGTTCACCCTCCCACCCAACTTGGTATCATCCACAAACTTGGAGATGTTATATTTTGTTCCCTAATCCGAATCATTAATATATATTGTGAAAATAGCTGGGATCCCAGCACCGATCACCACCTCCAGTTACTGCCTGCCAATTTGAAAAGGATCCATTAACTCCTATTCTTCGTTTCCTTTCTGCCAACCAGTTTCCTATCCATCTCAATACACGTCCCCTAAACCCATGCGCTTTATCTTGCACATTAATCTCTTATGTGGGACTTTGTCAAACGCTTTCTGAATGTTCAAATATACTATATCAACTAGCTCCCCCTTGTCAACTCTACTAGTTACATCATCAAAGAATTCCAATAGACTTGACAAGCATGATTTCCCCTTCATAAATCTCTGCTGACTCTGTCTGATCCTGTCACTGCTTTCTAAATGCTCTGCTATAAAATCCTTGACAATGGATTCAAGAATTTTCCCCACTACTGATGTTAGGCTCACTGGTCTATAATTCCCTGTTTTCTCTCTACCTCCCTTATTGAATAATGGAATGACATTAGCCACCGTCCAATCTGCAGAGACTGTTCCAGAGTCTATAGAGTCCTGGAAGATGACCACCAATGCATCCACTATTTCTAGAGCTACTTCCTTAACTACTCTGGGATGTAGATTATCAGGCCCTGGAGATTTATCAGCCTTCAGTTCCAACAAATTTCCCAGCACCATTTCTAGGCTAATATTGATCTCCCTCAGTTCTTCCCTCTCACTAAATCTTGCATCCTCAGCAATTCTGGTATCTGTTTTGTGTCCTCTTTTGTAAATATTCCTGGGTATAAGGTGTTCAGAAAAGATTGAAAAGTAAAGAGAGGAGGAAGGTTGGCAGTATTGGTGAAGAAGAGCATTGCAGTGTGGAGAAAGAGGATGTCTCACAGTGTCCAAGGACAGAATTAAGTTGGCTAGAAGTAAGGAACAAAAATGGTGTAGCTACATTGCTTTGTATAGTCAGAAACTACTAACTAATGGGAAAGATTTGGAAGAACTTACAAAGAAATGCTAGTATAAAAGTAGTTATAATGAGGATCTGATTTACTCAAGTTTAAACCAGGAGTGTAGTACTGTAAGGGGCTGCAAGAGGCTAGAGTTCCTAAATTGTGCTCAAGAGAATGTCCTACAGCAGTATGCATAAAATCCAACAGGAAAGGATGCACTTGGAAGGTTCTTGGAAATTAGGTGAGCCAAGTAAATCAGGTATTGGGGGGGAACATTCAGGAGACTGTGATCGAGGGTTTAGGTTGATGTTGGAGAATAATAGTCATCAATTCCAGATATGAAAAATCAGGTGGCAGAGACCCAACTTAATTGGGGCAAGAATGGAGCTGGGCAGTTAGCCATAAGTGAAAAGTTGGCAGAAAAACCTCATTGAGCAATGGGATACTTTCAAAGAGTAGATGGCTAGGGTATAGTCAAGGTGTGTTTCCTCAAAAGGGAAAAGTAGAATAAACAAAAATCCAGAGGTCCCTGGATGACAAAGGAGAAATTAAGACAAAAAAGCAAAAGTAGCTTTTCTGAAGAAGATTTTCTGAAGAAGGGTCTCGACCCAAAACATCAACTTTCCTGCTCCTCTGATGCTGCCTGGCCTGCTATGTTCCTCAAGCTCCACACTGTGTTATCTCCAAAAGTAGCTAATGATAGGTTTTGTGTAAAAAATACAACTGAGAACCAAGAGAAAAGCTGAAGCTTCAGTGAGGAGGTAGAAAAGTATATGGGAGAAGCAAAGGCAAATGAAGAAAATATTGGCAACCAATATAAAGGGGTAACCCGGAATCTTCAATTGGCACATAAACAGGAAAACAGTGGTAGAAGAAAGAATAAGGCCAATTAGGGACCAAAAGTGGGGACTTATGCACAAAGGCAAATGGCAAGTCAGAGGTTTTAAATGGGTACTTTGCATTTATCTTTATCAAGGAAGTAGTGGCTACAGTGACAGAGGAGGAAGCTTTGTCACTACAAGGGTTCAAAATTGATGACAAAGTAGTGTTAGACAGACTGTTTGTACTTGAAGTTGACAAGGACTGGGATGAGTTGCATTCAAAAGTATTAAAGGAAGTGAGAATGGAAACTCAAGGGAACTGGCCATAATCTTTTAGTCTTCTCTGGACTCGGGGCAGCTGCCGCTGGAGAATTGCTAGCATCACCCCCTTGTTCAAAAAAGTTCTGGGATTGACTGCAGAGCAGTCAGTTCAACTCCAGTGGTGTGGAAGCTTCTCAACAGTTATTTAAGATATAATTAGTAATCACAGGAAAAGGGTAAGTTGATTAGGAAGAATCAGAATGGATTTCCAAAGTTGATATCTTGTTTAACTAACTTGCTGGGGTTCTTTTGAAGAGCCAACAGGCTGGATGATGGCAATGCTGTTAATGTGTACATGAATTTCTAGAAGGTACTCGATACAGTATCACTTCTAGACTTGTGAGGAAAGTTATTGCTCATGGAATAAAAAGAATGGCAGCAACATGGATACAAAATTAGCTGAGCGATAAGAAACAGTGAAAAATGGTCAACAATGTTCTCTTTAAGCTATGTAGCAGCTGGGAAGTCAGCTTCATAGCCAGTCTGCTGCATGACTTGCACTTCCCACTTCTGGTAGCCTTTGCTGTGCACGGATCTTGGCGAACTGCACAGGAGGAAGAAAAATTAGATGGAACATTGATGGCCAATGGATATCTTTCAGGCTGGAAACAGTGGAATTATGCTAAGATTGATATTATGAATTTTGCTTTATTGATACATGAACTCCTTAGAAAGAAACTGCTTTAAAGGAAATCCAATAGCTTTCCAAATCATGAGATGGCTGAATAGAATAGATAGAAAGAAACTGTTCCTGCTCATAACATTGTCAAGAACAGAAGGGCATAGAGTAAAGATTTGTAAAGGATGCAAATGCGAGAAAAAAACTTTTTCGTACAATTTTGCATCTGAAATGCACTTCTTGTAAGTGTGGTGAGTCAGAGACAATTGAAGCATTCAAGAGAGCAATGGATGGTTCTTTAAGTAGAAATTGAATGTGCAAGAGTATGGAGAAAAGATAGGAGAATGGCACTAAGTCATGAAGCTCATTCAGAGAACCGGTGACCACAGTAGCCCGAAAGCCACCTCTGTACTGTCACACTTCTGTACTTGAAAGGAACATTCTTTTGGGGGAGATTGACCAGCCAGGTATTGTGGTCCACATCAATACCAATATCTTGGTCGAATGCAGATTTCAGGGAGCTGGGAGGGAAATTGAAAAGCAGGATCAGTAATTTCAGGATTATTTACAGTCTCACATCCTACTGAATGAAAGAATTGACAGAATTGGTGTATGGTGATGGCCATCAGATTTCTGACTCATTAGGACTATATTTGGGCAAGCTGGAACTTGTATCAGATGAACTGGCTGTATATTAGCACAACCAAGAATAACATCCTCACAGTAAAATTTGTTAGTGTTTTTGGGGAAGGTTTGAACTACATTGGCAGGAATCCCAAGATGGAGCTCGGATTCAATGGAAGCAACACTGATAAATGGAAGTAGAAAAGAAAGATGACAGATGAAGTATAGACAAGCTACAAATGGGATCAGAATAGATAATAATATTAAAAATAGAATTAAATGCCTTCTGGTGTAACAAAAACAGACTCTGGGTTACTTGTTCATGAGTCACCAAAAATTAGCATATTGGTGCAGTAATCAGTAACAAATACAATTGGTTTGCTGGCCTTCATCACAAGGGGATTTGATTACAGGGGTCTTTCTAAAATTGCATCAAGTCTTGATGAGACTTACCTGGAAATTTGTGCACAGTTTTGGTCCCTTTATCTAAGGAAGAATATACTTGCCTTGGCAGGAGTGCACCAAAGGTTCACCAGATTAATGCCTGGCATGGCACATTGTCAAATGGGGAGAGATTGAGGAGACTGGGTCTGCATTCCATAGAGCTTCAAAGACTAATGGGTGACCTCATTGAAACTAAAAGTTTTTATACAATATGATAGGGTAGATATAGGGAAGGTGTTTCATTTGGCTAACACTATATTGGAAGTAATCAAAGGGTGAGGGGCTTGGCCATTTAAGACTGAGATGAGGGATTTCTTTACTCTGCAGGTGGTAACTATTTGGAATTTTCTACTGTAAAGAGTTGTGGAAGCTCGAGCATTAAACATGTCAAGACAAAAGTCGATAGATTTCTGGAGACATATGACATCAAAGAATATGGAGATAGTGCAAGAAAATGGTATTGAGGTTGATAATCAATCATGATCTAATTGAATGGGTGAAGGGGGAAGGTTTACAGGAGACATGAGAGGCAAATATTTTACACACAGGATGGTTATCGCCTGAAATGCACTACCAGAAGAGGTGGTAGAATCAAATACAATAGCAGTATTTAAGCGGTATCATTGACAGGTACATAAATAGGCAGGGAATAGAAAGATGCAGACAACATAGATGCAAAAGATTTTTAGTTTAGAAAGGCATATTGAAGGCTTGTTGCATGTAGGGCCTGTTCCTTTGCTGTACTGTTTTTGGTTTGTTCTAGCATGCTAAATTGGTCACATGGCTTACTCCTGTTCCTATGTTCCTCTAACTCCCTACCAACCATCCTCTGCCCTTCCTTCCTGATATCAACTTGTCTTATTTCCACTGTGACTAAACCTCAGAAAGATTTTTTAAACTTTTTTTAATGTTCGCTCATGGCACTAGGACGTTGCTGATTGTGCTGGTATTACCCTCAGTTATATTCCTGCAGTGAGCTATGATTAACATAATTTAGCTGCTTTTCGAGTTAGAAGTTCCCACGCCATTTTAGTCACTATCATGTGTTATTGTGTTTATGTTAGCTTAGATTTTGCAGTGCGCAGAAAACCAAATTTGTTCCGTTCTTTGCCTTTCAGGTTCAACATATTTCCATACTTTATATTTTGAAACATAAATTGGTTGAAGAAAGATGCAATGAAGACCCCTTTGGTCACTGTGCAATTGAGAACATTTACATCCTCAAAAATACATTTTTTGTACGCCCTTGAATATAGCACAGAGGAAGTCATTTGACTCGTTGAATCCATGCCAGTTCTTGAAAGGCTATCTAAACAATCCCAATATCTTGCTGCATTCCCATTTTCCTTTTCGTTATTCTTCATCTCCACGACCAACATGATCATATGCAGCAGCTATCAAGTCATTGCCGCTTGTGTGTGAAGAGAGCCTTCCCTGCACCTACATGGTCCTGAATTGCAGTAAAATATTAAGGACTTTCTTTTATTTTCTGCTTTTAGAGTTTACTTTCTGATCTTTCATAAGAAACTAGAAAAACAAAATTCAGAAAGCATTCCACTCCTGATTGGTTAGGACAGAAAACAATACTATTGATGGACTGTTACTTACCCTGTTCATTGCTAATTCATCAGTTTCATTCAACATTTGAACAGAAGGCCTGTCTCCTGTGAAGTCCATAGGTTTTCAGAAGAAAGGGACTGTGTGCCAGGCAACATGTAGCTGAGGATAGTCAAATTAATAGCTATGGTATCAGTTGCAAGTTAAATTTTTACAATTCCTGTAATATCACTGCAATAAACAAAGACTCGGGGCACTGCTTCTTATCCCAGTGCATATTTTCTAAGGACTTTTAGAGTATGGAACTATTTCTCTCCTTTGGCATCCCTTTCCTCCTACACACAACAGGCTTTTAGGCCCTGACTTGCCTGAACCTAAACACTGCTGTTTAATTTGTCACAGAATCCTCATTTTCAACCTTGATGATGTCCTGCACTTCTGGTCTCACTGAGATTTATTGTAAAATTTTGGCAACTGTTCGATGAAAGATCTTGAAATTTGGCATCCAGTGCATGCCAGCTTTCCTGTTGTGACATTCAAATAGAAAAACCAACCAGTTTAAAAAAAAATGAAACTGCCATTTCCTCAATGCAGCAGTTATTCAGCTCTGCAGCAACTGAAACAATAGAAACTAATAGTTTTATTGTTTTGTTCTAAGATCATTCGTTATTTTATTCTGTGCAACTATTTAATCCCATGATTGTATTTATGCAATGTGAAGGATAAAGAACAAGTGATTGACCTTTCTTCATACAGCAGGTGCAATGAAATAACTCACTAAGTAAAATGAAAAAAAGTGATTGATATATCAATTAACAGTAAAAGATAAATGACCAAGAGATGTTAAGGATCTTCGCAAATGTGAAACCCATTAAATTGATTGTGCGTGTAAATTGCCATCCTTTGATGCATCAACCTCTTGAAATAGACCTTACTTAAGATAATTAAGAATACTGTCTTATGCCTTTTGCAGGAGAAAATATTTTACATAGTGCAATACAGCTTTCAACTGCGCTTATATGCAGCTAATCTGCTAGCTGAGGCACAGAAGCTGTTCGACTGCACTTGAAACGAAGTGCTGCTTAACATTTGTAGAAATGTTACGTGCATTAAGTAGGAACAGTCTCAGATATATTTACTCTGCATGTTTTGTAAGAATTTTCAGTAAATTTGAACAGTGAGTATTTTTTGGAAATTTCTGATATTTTTATCATGGATCGATTTCCTACATTTTCTAGCTTTCTTTGGAATAAAATTTACATTGGGTTAAAAAATATGCTGAAGTCTTTTAAATTCACATAAAATCTTCCTAATGGTAAATTTGGATTAAAAATAATTTAATCAGTATGTTGATTTTTGTCTGAAGGAAAAGGTTCTGTGAATTAATATATAAATACTTTGTTCTGATTTATGATAGGGGAATGTTGCATCTAAAAAGGGCTGAAGTCAAAATACATTCTCTAAGTATGCAGTTTTATTGTCACTTACTGCTATGTCCTTCAGGATTTCAGTGATATTTCTGCAGCAACAAAAAATATTTCTTTCAGAGAATGCTCTCAAGTGACTGTCATTGTCATTGTTCTTACATCTCAAATGATTATTTATAGTATGTAAAATTATTTAATATTGGAAAGCTTCTACAGAAATTCTTTGTGCACCTATTGGAAAAGTGACAAAAGAAAATCCAAAATCACCTTTATAACTATTAAGTAAATTGCAATGATTTAAACAATGTATCCTGCATATATTTGTTTCCCGATCCTTTTTACAGTTCCTTGCTGCCCTGAATCACAGCGTTGTGATCCTTCAAACAATCAAGTGAGAAGGCCTAGAACATTGATTACTCCTTATCTGGTCTCGATATAACCTACCTGGCATGTGCTGAATGATGAAATCAGTTCTGCCCTTTTTCCTGGGTTAAAATGTCAGTTGAAGTCAGGTTTCACATAGATTATCCTTTTTAATTTGATAACCCAGGACTTTATTACAATAGTTACCAGCTGCCAAGAGTAATATATTTATTAAAGTGTACTTTTATTGAGTTAAACTAGTAGTGTACTGTTATGTCCTAAAGAAACAACCAACGGACCAGGACAGTATCATTGCTCAGCAAGTGCAGAATTTCAATGTAGAAACTTCAGCAAAATGTTCCCCTAAACAATTAACCTTATTGCAATTTGTGCAAGTAACAGTTGTATACTTCTGCATGATTTTAAAATAAATGCAGTAAAATATGTTAATTACAAAATTGAGCTATAGAAAAATATGATCAAACATTGTATTTCCAGCACATCACTGTTTTGCAGTGTGATCACAAAGCATATCGCAGGGTTATAAAATAAAGCATCAAAGAGATTGTTCATTATATGTCTAGAAAAACCAATCTACTAAAATGAATAGATTTGAGCATCTACTTTGTATCTATTTTCAGTCAAGATGAAGGAGACCAGGAAGAGTTTCCTGAAATTCAAGCCTCACCACCACCATCACCATTCCTTTCTGCAATCTTGTCTGCTTTTCAACCAGTGGCTTATGAGGATGAGGAAGAAGCCTGGCGTTGCCACGTCAATCAAATGCTGTCCGATACAGATGGATCCTGTGCAGTGCATACATTTCATGTGTTCTCCAGATTGTTTCAGGTCAGTGATCCATTGCCAGATCATAAGTATTTTTTGATGATAGATGCTGTTAATTCACAGCAAGTTGTATGCTTTACTCTTGCAAAGTTATTGAAACTGAATTTGTCAAATGGAAGGCATTAATTGACATCCTTTAAGTCACCCATCACTAAAAGTGATTTGAAGATCTTACTGATATGCAAACGGGTTCTGCTATTTATGCACCTTAGGATGTCAGAGCCTCTTGAACAAATACGATTTAGCTGAAGGTTTGTTTTCAAAATAAAACACTTTCTCTTTGAGCAGTGTTTTTGGAAAATGTCAAGAGTTGCGCAATGATGGAAAAGAAATTGTTTCTTCATTCTGTGGCAAAAGTATGCTTGTTGCAATATATCCTTGCTAATTTTGTCATGATTACCCATGTGCAGCAAGCCCAATGAGTGGTATTCACTCATCCTTTTGTAATGCCCCACACTGGTGCAAGTTGCATTTATACGGCATCTTTAATATCGAACAATGTCCCATGGTGTTTCACTGAATTATAAAATCTGGATAATGAGGGCGAAGCAGGAGAGATTAGGAGAGGTGGTAAAAGCTTGCACACAGGTAGTTTTGAAGATGCTTTTAAAGGAGAAGAACGTTACAGAGAGAATTCCAGGAGTAGCCTGACCACAGCTGTGAAGAGAGAGAGAGATGCAGATAGCTGCAGTTGTAAATACTGCATTCTGGGAAGTTATAAAATTGGAAGTTTTAAAGAGAGATAAAGTCATGAACTTATTTAAACTTGACAGTGAGAATATTTGATTTATAAACTTGATAGAAGTTTATAAAATAATGAGATATATGGGTAGGATTGACTTTCAGAATCTTTTTCCCAGAGTTGAAATGTCTAATACCAGGGGGCATGCATTTAAGGTGAGAAGGGGGAAAGTTCAAAGGAGACTTGAGGGTCAGGTTTTTTTAGGCAGAATGTGGTAGGAGCCTGGAACACACTGCCAGGAGTGGTGCTCGAGGAAAACACAATAAGGGCATTTAAGGGACTGTTAGATAAGCATATGAATATGCAAGGAATAGAGGGATATGGACCAAGGGCAGGCAGAAGGGATTGGTTGCATTTGGCATCATGTTAGGCACAACATTGTGGGCCGAAGGGCCCGTTCCTGTGCTGTATGGTTATGTTCTTTAATATTAAATCAAAGGCAGTGATGTATCAAAAGCTAATTAGGTTATGAATTCTAAGGTTTTAGAGTTATGAATTATAATTAATCTGACTTGGTGCACCATGAAGTGAGCTAAATCTTTGGAGAATAGAGAACATAGTCTGACCAGGGATGCATTGTGTGGTTGAGTCTGAAGTTGGCAATAGCATGCTAAGGATTTCAGCAGCAAAGAAGGTAATGTCCAGAAGGTGGAAATAATCCTCTTGATGTTGGAGAAATTATGTGGTCAGGAAGCCAGTTTATGTCAATTCGGATCTCAAGATCGCAAAAAAAAACTGGTTCAGCCTTATTGGCCAGTGAGTGAGAGGAAATTGATAGAAGGCTAGCAGTGATGATTTTGGAACATAGATAGAAACAAACGTAATATGACCTTGTCAAGCCTTACTCCATCATCCAGTATGATTATGGCTGATTTTGGGCTTCAGCTCCAATTTCTCATCTGCTTCCCGTATTCCCTTCCCTGAAATACAAAAACATATCTATCTCATCCTTAAGTGGCATCATTGATGAACTAACCACAATCTCTGAATGGAGAATTTCAAAGATTCACATTGTTTAAGTCAATAAATTTCTACTCCCCTCACTCCTAAGTTGTTGGCCCCTTGTCCTAAAGCTGTGCCTCTTTGTTCTAGATTTGCCAAGCAGGGAAATAACCTCTTAGTATCTATCCTGACAATCCCCCTTTATAGTCTTGAATCTTTCAATGTGATCACCTCTCATTCTGCTTAAGTCTAGAGCTGATAGACCCAACTTCAAGGAGGTTATAGATAACATTGTATTGAAAGAAAAGGCATACATTGATGCAAGTAATGCTAACAGAATTGAGGTTTATAAGTATTTTAGAAACCAGCAAAGGGACACCAAAATGTTGATTAAAAGGGGAGAGAAAGTGTACGAAAATAATCTAGCCAGGAAAATAAAAGCAGGTTCTAAGAGCTTTCACAAGTTTATAAAAGAAGAAAAGAGTAACTAAACAATGGTCCCTTAGAAGCAAACACAGGAAAAGTCAGCAATGTTCTTAAAAGTATTCTAATCATAGTAGGAACTGCTCCTGCTTTCCCAGTATTGGTACTACTCTCCTATGAATGGATTTTCATTTGAACCACACTACCTTTTGAACCACGTATCCAACGCTTTCATTTTTATTAACCTGTGCCAATTTCTTGTGAAACAGGTAATAATGCAGAGATTATTACCTCTGAGGATCTTTTTTCTAACTTAATCTCTAGTTGCTGATATTCCCTCAGCAGAAGTTCTTTCTTCATCCTATCTATAACACGGTGTCCACTTGCACCATGGCAACTGGATCCAAGTTGCTGTCTAGTACAGCGGGATATCCTACTTGACACTAGGAAGGCAAAATAACCTTTTGAGATTTGCACTCTCAGATGCAGAAAGCAATATCTATCCCTCTAGCTATACTGCCCTCTGCTTCTACTATATTCCTTTTCGTTCCCTGCACCACTGCACCATGGTCAGTTTGCTCATCTTTGCAGACCTCACCATTTGCAAGAACCTCAAACCTGTGGGACAGCTGTTGGAGTTGAAATTCTTTCTATGGTGCCTTCTGGATCTCCGTACTTGTCACACAGTCACGCCTTTCTGTCCCTGATCACGGATCAAATCAGATATGACTAATCTATAGGTGTAACTCTATTGGAAGGAAGTGTCGAGGTAAATACCCACTCCCTGGTGCATCATATGTCATTGAGACAAGTTTGCCTCATCCAAGACTGAATTTTAGATAAGCAATTAATAAAAATTGAGCTGCAGAGGGATGATGATGGGGAGCATGGCTGTGTTTGAAGAACTGGTGAAGGGTTCCTCATGGTAGACTGGTTAGCAAAGTTAGATCACATGGAATACAAGGAAACCTAGCCATTTGGATACAGAATGGCTTGAAGGTAGAAGACAGGCGGTGGTGGTGGAGGGTTGCTTTTCAGACAGGAGGCCCGTGACTAGCAGTGTGCCACAAGGATTGGTGCTGGGTCCACTGCTTTTTGTCATTTATATAAATGATTTGTATGTGAATGTAGGAGGTATGGTTAGTAAGTTGGCAGATGACACCAAAATTGGAGATGTAATGGACAGTGAACAAGGTTACCTCAGAGGACAATGGGATCTTGATCAGGTAATCCAGTGCGCCGACGGATGACAGATGGAGTTTAATTTAGATAAATGTGAGACACTGCATTTTGGAAAGGCAGTTACACTTAATAGTAATGTCCTGGGGAGTGTTGCTGAATGAAGAGAACATCAAGTGTACATTCATAGTTCCTTAAAAGTGGAGTCGCAAGTCAATAGGATAGTGAAGAAGGTGCTTGGTAACTTCCCTTTATTGGTCAGTGCATTGAGAATAGGAATTGGGAGGTCATGTTGAAGCTATACGGGACATTGGTTAGGCCACTTTTGGAATATTGTGTGCGATTCTGGCCTCCCTGCTATAGGAAGAATGTTGTGAAACTTGAAAGGGTTCAGAAAAGACTTACAGGTAGTTTTCCTATAACACAATAGCTGCATTCTGGTGTAACCTTGCGCCAAAGAAAATCGTATTGTAGGGAAATCGCTATACCTGTACAGCAGAAAGTTTGCGTTGTCCAAACAGCGACCATTATTCATCAATTGCGTTACAGCCAATTTGCGTCAACGAAACACGCGTTATAGCAGAACTACCTGTACAAGGATGTTGCTAGAGTTGGAGAGTTTGAGGTATAGGGAGAGGCCAAAATGGCTGGGACTGTTTTCCCTGGAGCACCGGAGGCTGAGATGTGACTTTATCGAGGTTTATAAAATCATGAGGAACATGGATAGGGTAAATAGACAAGATCTTATCCCCAGGTTGTGGGAGTCCAAAATTAAAGGGCATAGGCTTAAGGTGAGAGGGGGAAGATTTAAAAGGGATCTAAGGGGCAACTTCTTCATGCAGAGGGTGGTGCGTGTATGGCATGAGCTGCCAGAGGAAGTGGTGGAGGCTGATACAATTACAACATTTAAAAGGCATTTGGATGGGTATATGAATAGGAAGAGTTTAGTGGGATGTGGGCCAAATGCTGGCAAATGGGACTAGATTAATTTAGGATATCTGGTCAGCATGGACAAGTTGGACCGAAGAGTCTGTTTCTATGCTGTACAGCTCTGTAACTCAATGACTGTAATTAGTATTGCATGTCATTAGCACGTGTGTAAACTGATCACATTCCTTTGGCTGTTTTGGAGCAGTACGTGGATAAGACTGAGGAGGGGACAAGGGTACACCAGTGGAAAACACGTGGGATTAGATGAGAGGCCCTTGCTGGAAATATTCTGACAATGTTCAGTAGATTGGAGTGAAACCAAGTGAAGGCAGCCAAATTACATTGAACAATGGGAGAGGATCATTAGAGAAGGACAGTGTTGACCGTGACAGAGACTACAGAGGAGTTCGGGAAATTTGAAAACATTGGGAGGGGAAATCCAGCAGAGGCAAGAAATTGAATGAGCCAAATCATTCCTAACTTTGAAGATGGAAGGTAAGAGATTTAGTGGAAAGAATAGGCAGTGCAAAAAAGAAGTGAGAGGTTGCCTTTGTTCTTCAGCATTGTTCTGGAGTAGTGAGTATTTTTAACAGAATGAGGCACAAAAGTGCCTGCTATGGTCCAGCTAGCTTTTATAATAGATGCCTGATTTGTGTGCCACCTGATTTACACTAAACTCTAACATTGCTTTGAAGCCAAACACACTTTCATTGACATATATAAATCCTTTGATGTAAAAGTGCTTTCAATATGACAATATGACTGACACAGGATGAAAATATTGTTGATGGCTGATTCCTTGTTTCTGCAGAACATTCAGAAAAAATTCTGTGCCATAACTCATGATTCAGTCAGTCATTTGGGGGACAGCCTGCAGAAGATTGGGTCAAAGTTCAAGAGCTCATTAGAAGTAATGATGATGTGTTCAGATTGTCCTACTGTATTTGTGGATGCCGAAACTGTAAGTTTTAGACTTTTCCTGCAATAAAATTAGTAACAATTGTATAAAAGTGGTATAAGCTCATTTTATGTATACAATACTATGTCATTCTTATTATAGAATAGTTACAACTTAATCACGACCATTCATATAGCTGTATTCTAAAAATGCATGATGCATTTCTTGAAAGTAATGCTTCAAAAGTGGTTTGCTGTTCATTTTTATGAGCAGCCTTCTGATATTTCATAAATTCTAAAATCAAACATAAACTTAATATTCTGAAGTTACTGTCTTTATTTTTAACTCTTCACCAGTTGGCCTTGTATTAGGAAACATCACACTGACCAATGATAATGTGAAAATCTAGGGTTTGCACTAAGTCAAGTGCTGACTGCAGATAACGTTTAACTACAAGAATGCTTTGCATCTGTATACCTTGGAAAGCACTAAAAGTTAGTTAGAACCTTTTTATGGCAGCAAAAGTAACATTTTGATTATAATGCAGGTGATCTGCAAAATTAAATTCTCAATTTTTAAAATCTCAGTTGTGTTTCTTCGTTTTATTATTTTCATTTTTAAAAATTCTTTCCTGCCCACCATCTCCCAACCTTCTCCAGAGATGTGACAAGGTTCTGTCCGTGCATTACTCAACACATGAAAGACCACACAAGCAGCCTCTTGTCCAGTCTACCACCAGTGTCATTGAATTGGTAGTGGAGAGTAGCCTAGGATAATTTACCCTCTTGCTTTCCTCTCTTCTTGATTATGGGCACTAACAGAGGAACCAGAATTACAAACAGTGTTAATCCACTGAACAATTCTGTTCATCAATCTCTCCAGCATAAATGTACATTCTAAATTTTAATTTACAGAAGTATATTTGAAATGTATAAAGCTAACAATTTTTCTGTTTATTTTATACAGCTTGTCTCATGTGGATTGTTAGAGACATTAAAGTTTAGTGTATTGGAGCTACAAGAACACTTGGATACCTACAATGCCAAAAGAGATGGAGCTGAGCAGGTAAGCTGTAGAAATTGTCCTTTGCTTATATTAATAAAAACAAAGTGGTAATTGTAATCTTTCCAGAGTCACACTTGTTCTGATGGTATGATGAAGCATTTATAAAGTGTGGAAAATGAAAGTAAAAGAAAACTTAATACAGCAGTTTCCTCTCACATCTCCTTTTACTGCTAACCTAGTAAATATGTTCTACAGCACCTCAGATAGAATTGCTGAATGCAATGTACATTTATCAAAATGTTGTGAAGAAGTACTCCACTTTTTAGAATGCAAATTAATGTGATTATACAGTGGAATGAAAACTTAGAATTATCTAAAACCTGAGAAGCAGTATTCTTAGTTTTATTTATATATTTTGTTCTGTCTGTACTAAGAAAAAAACTAGATGATGTTTCCATTTTTCCATAACCCCAATCCAAAGGAAGCATCAATTGAAAATGGCGCTTTTATCTTTTGCCCTGATAGTGGCGTTCCTCTTTGGGATCATAGGAGTTCAGAATTACTGTTGTCGTGGGTCAAATGGAAAGTGTGTGGTAACAGTTGAGTAAAGAGCCAAAGCATTTGTCCTGAGTGAATGTAAATGCCAGAAAAATAACCAACTTGCCCAAAAACATGGTGGAGGGAAGGCGCTGGCCTAGTGGTATTATTGCTGGACTGTTAATCCAGAGACCCAGATAAGGTTCCCAGGACCTGGGTTCAAATTCCGCAGACGGTGGAATTTGAATTCGTTAAATATCTGGAATTAAGAATCTAATGATGACAGTGAATCCATCGTCGATTGTTGGAAAAACCCATCTGGTTCACTGATGTCCTTTAGGGAAGGAAACTGCCATCCTTACCTGGTCTGGCCCATATGTGACTCCAGACCCACAGCAATGTAGTTGACTCTCAACTGCCCGCTGGGCAATTAGGGATGAGCAATAAATGCTGCCTAGCCAGTGATGCTCTCATCCCGTGAATGAATAAAGAAAAATAATGTTTAGACCAGGACATAGGGGAGATGGTGATGCAGTGGCAGTGTCACTGGTCTACTTATCCAGAACACCTACCTATTGTTCTGGTGATGAGAATTTGAATATCACCATGGCAGATTGTGAAATTTGATTTCAATGAAAAATAATTTGGATTAACAGCTAACCTAATGATGACCGTGCAACTATTAACAATTGTTGTAAAAACCCATCTGATTCATTATTGTCCTTTAGGAACAGTACCAGGTACAATATTATGTAGCATCTTATGTATCAAGGTGACTAAGTTGGATAATGCATAAAAACGGGTCTGTGAATAGCTATGCATGATTCAGTGCTCCTGTAAAAAGAAACACAGGCTTGCACATTAGAACAGTTTTTGTTCAGACAGCACTAACTGCATCCTGTTCACTGATAGCTCACATCTGCAGATCTAAAATTTCCAAACATCACATAAAACTAGCCTGTACCTTTTAAAAAGAAGATCCGTTGTTGTTGAAGCAGGTGCTGAGAATTGTACATGAAGGTAATCTGTTCTCAGAAACAGTGAGAAATCATAGCATGTGGGAGACAGCAGTTTTGGATGTTCCATTGAAGTTCTTGACGGAGGAGAAGTGATCTGCAGGGGCTAAGAGGTCCTCCAGATACTGGTCAAAAAGTAATTAGAGCAGATGGCCAAAACAGAGGTCATTACAAGGAAGCAAGCCCCAAGAACCCGACTGTAATGCTGAAAGTTCAAAAATCTCATGTGTATAGTCGAGGTCAGTGAATATGTCTTCAAATGTCATATTCACTCAATAACTGAATTATCAGCTTCATGCACCACTCAATGTACTATGTCTGCCGGGGGCAGGACTCGTCCTTGTCATCATTCTCACTGTTACATGCCACACACCCGCATCTTCCAGGTTGCAAACACCACCAATAATTTGATCACAAAACCTACATCACCCAAACAGATGGTACAACACTAACTGACACATTTTGATCTCTATCCAGACAAGATGATATACATCTTAAGCAGCAGAACCTATGCTGCAGGGGACATGTACACCTGCATGTCCTAGCCACTGTGGAAGTGGTGGTGCTAATTCCATTTACACATTTGTGGACCCAATCATGCTGAAGCTAATTTTGCCATCTCCATTGCAGCACAAGCACAATCACTTAACTTGTAGGGAAAGTTTAGACAGTTTATAACAGTATGTGAATTAGTGTGCAAAGGAGCTTGTATTGTCACAGTGATCCAGTGATCTTTCCAACACCAGCCATTCGCCCAGGGGAGTGGCACTGCTTCCTTGGAGCACAACCCAACTGTCCTTGACTTGATTATGACATGATTTTAGTATTATATATTTTAGTGTTATGTTCTTGTGTCCTGCTGATGCACAGTAGATACAGGGCATTGAAAGATACACTTTCATAAGAAGTCTGAACATTTGCGTCTGAAGGAACTTACTGGTATTACTGAATCTAAGATCATCCCTTCAGGCAGAAAGAGCCCATTCGGCCCATTGAGCATACAAAGAGCATCCCACTCCACTGTATGGAGTTTTTACCATGGCCAATCCACCTAATCTGCACATCTTTGGTTTCCTCTGGGCGTTCTGGATTCCTCCCACAGTCCAATGTAGATACCAAGAGAATGTGCAAACTCCGCATACACCGTCACCCAATGCTGAAATTAAATCTGCGTCCGTGGTACTGGAAGGCAGCAGTGCCAGCCATTGAGCCACCGTGCCACCTTAGCTGGGGCAGGCCTGAATTGATTGCATTTATACAGGAGAACCAATTGAAATATGCATATCAGGAAAGAGGCCTGTGGCAAATGGCTAATTTATTAAAACTAGACAAAACAGTGTGAAAGTACTGCACATTAAGAATAAAATAAGGAATGCAATAAGTTAAATTATACAAAGCTCTTGGACATCTGCTCTTTGTGTGGTTTCTCCAGTTTAAGTTCATACACATGCTGAAGAAAATCCAGTCTCTAAACAGGGTGCAAGTGAAATATCAATCCTAGATGTATCAGCAATCGGGATGGCTCCAAAAATTAGTAATTTAATTCATGTGCCTGGAGGGCACATGAATTAAGCTTTTAAATGATGAGAGGATTGGATGCAATCCAGTTTTGCTGCATTATTTCAAATGGACAGGGTTGATGGAATTCAAGGTCATTCTTCCGATAAAACCTATATGCGAACTGTTCGCTGAGTTGCCAGGGAATATTTCTTTGCAGAGTCACTACAAGCTGCCAAGATATGGTGAAAGGAAGTTGCTTCAGTACTTTGAAGAAAACTTTGACACGGAACGAGTCATATTAAAACAAACGGGAACTGCTAATGGCTCTGCAGTGAACCTGATAATCCACAGTAAATACACCTTAGTTTCCCATCACCTCAAGTTCATTCTAAAGTTTCCACACTATCCCCCTCAACTGGCACCTTGATTGTGGCAGACTTCCATCCCATTTTTAAAAAATAGTTTCTAATCAACCTATTGAGAGATGTTATTACATATCTCTGGAGCAAGTGAGACTTGAACTCAGGCCCTGGCTCAAAGGTAGGGACACTGCCACTGCACCACCAAAGCCTCCTTACATCTCATTCAATAATGGTTTCCACCTCAGGCATTGCCTGCTGAGATCCAGGAGCCCCACAATGACAATGCAGTTTCTGCTGCTTTTGCACCAGAAGGAGATGACAGTGAACTGGGAATGTTCTCGATTAGGTCCCTGTTGTTTCGTACTCACTCAACCGGTTTAAATATAACAGCTTCACACTGAACATCTGGGAAGTGACAACAAAAAATTGCAGATTGGTTTGAGAGTAATATTGCTGTAATGGAATTTCTGATTAAAGCCAAGCTTAATTACAAAGAAGATCCAAGTAAAACAACTTTGAATAGTCAAAGAGACACTTAAACCCAAAAGTTCAATAAATTGTTCGGCAGTGCCCCCGTGACTGGTTGTAAATTTGTCAGAATATCCAGATACCCTTTTACACAGGGAATGCTAGGGGCTTGTATGAAGAGATCAAAAGGGTAAGCAATCTATCATCAACGTAAACAGCTCAATTCAAATCAAAGATAGTGAACCCATCACAGATTCCAATAAACAGTTTGAGAGATAGATGGAACTTGACCTTGAGTTGTTCTGTAGGAAGTACACATGCACTGTGAAAACACTAGACATCATAGAAAGCTTGTCTGTCTTGTTAGAGTTGGATATCAACCAACTGTAAAGGAACTTAACAAAGCTACCGACTCGCTTGCATTAGGCAAAGCTGCATATAATGTTAGGCTACCTGAGCTCATCAAGCACAGAAACCCCCACTCCTGTATCATCTGCCCAGATTTTGCTATTTCTGCTGCAGTGAAGGGCCTATGCCCTAGGATATGGTGGTGATGGTCAATTAAACATCTGACTGGATTGGGGAACCTAGTATATCAGTGCAAAGTCAAGGCTGAAGCCAGAAGCACAGACAATTCAACCTTCTCATGAGATTCACAGTTTTACAGATGGCAGTCTTCAACAACATTCCCTTTAAAGCTGCTTGGCCACCGGGAGGTTCTGAGCACGCTGAATTAACCAAGGCATTAGAAAAAACAGAAATTGCCGGAAAAGCTCAGTAGGTCTGGCAATACCTGTGGAGAGAGATCAAAGTTAGTGTTTCAGGTCAAGTGACCCTTCCTCAGAAGTTCTGATGCTGCCAGACCTGCTGAGCTTTTCCGGCAATTTCTGTTTTTGTTTCTGATTTGCAGCATCTGCAGTCCTTTCGATTTTTATTTAGCCAAGGCATTGGCTTCAGCTTCCAGCGGCTGTTGCCATGCATGGACCTTGGAAGTCCAGAAATTATTTCGAGGGAATGGTGGTCTTCAGCCAATTTGATTCGCTCTGTATGATATCAAGAAGTGGTAGATGACAATGAATGCTGCAAGCAAGCTGCTGCAGACAACTACAAAACTGGCATCTCCCTGGCAATATTGAAAGTTGCCCAGGGACATCCTGTCGATAAAAAATAGGACAAA